AGTAGTATTTCATGCCACAAACATATGTTGTCATGTAAAAAAGGAATATACAGAAAGTGAAATACTGCTCACTGGGAAATACTGATACTGAAGAATGTATTTATATCTTACTTTACAGGCTCAAGGTTTGTGGAACTTATTTTGCACATTAGAGCTTCCACTTATCAAAATTCTGGCAGGTAGGAAAGTTCAGTTCAAAATATGAATCTTCACTATTTTCACACATCTGCTAACTATGCTCAAGTGGAATGTAATTCCTCTGAATATGAAATGTTGTCTTAGCCTCATAACAGCTGTGTGAGTTTGAGTTTCCATTTTACAGTCTAAGAAAAACATAAGCTTGAAATTGTGAATTATAAATGTTCTTAACCTAAAATTGTATTTACAGTGATGGAAACACACAAAATATATGTGGACAAACAAGAACTGAAAAAAACATCAGAGATTCTAGGGGTAAATTCTGTATTAATTTTTTTTCTTGAAAATTATATAGCATCATCTTTGTGCTTTTACTGAGGATAACTGATTAAAAAGAGAAGGAACTTTTGTCATATTTTATGTAATAGTGTGGTGTTTTTAGTATATTGTTATAAATTATTAGATTTACATTTTAGAATACTTCTCTATTTACACAAGTAAATTTACAGAAGTAAAAAGACACATTTGAGTCATCAGCCTTGCCCCAGAACTGAAATTGCATTGCGAAATGCACAGGTCCTTTTGGATTATGTGTTGTAGAGTAAAAATGGTAATGACTGTTTCTGAACCTACAGTTTTCAGTAACCATCTTCCTGAGAAGTGATAGACTTTTCTCCCTCTTTTTATGAAGAATACACTCTTTAAATGAGTGTTCTTTGATAAAAATAGCTACAAGAGAATCTCATTTTGTAACATAAAATTTGACTAGATAATCATACTGGTCTGACAGATTACAGTTTATCAGAATAATTTGCATAGCTGTGTTTCTCACAGATCTCTATAGGCTTCAGTAACTTAAATTCTTTAACCACAAATGTTGGTACTCCTTACTACAATAATTCCCCTTCCCAGATCATAAAGCAATATAAGTTAAGGAGTATATAAGCAATCTACTCAACCAAATGTTGATAGCCAGCAATGATTACACAATATCAAGTACTCAATTTTTAGAAAAAGGTCCAATATTCTCATTAACCTTGGAAGCAGCAGATACTGAAGAAAATAATCATGTGAGCAGAATAATTTTGATGTCGTAATTTATAGTTGCGGCTCAAAGAGCTTGAACGGGAGGCTCATGAGGTTGCTGGAGAACGATTCCTTTTGACCAGCAGTTGTCAGCTCCGAGAGGTATCATTTGTTCTACTATTTCTACTTAAGGTATATGTTCTATAGATTTATTGATACAGAAGAACTGTAAAGCTTATATATCTTTACTGCTTCTGCCTTATTCTTTATTAATTATTTTCTGATTTTAATGAAGGACATATCAGTTTTTTCATAAACATGACAGTGTTGAATAATCCATATTTGAATGTATGTACATAAATTATGCATTTTTTTAAGTAAATGTCGCTTCTTCAATAGCTCAAAAATAAAGATTTTAAATTCTGTGTTAGTTCTCTTTGCTACAGTATGCTCTATTTACCTTGTAGCCTGTTTTCTGTTTAAGTTCAAGCACTCAATGATTTTTCTTTCTATTTCAACAGTTGAAACACTGAAAGATTTCTTGTCTTTTTCTGACTTTAGGTACTATTTGATAAGTTAAAGCTCCATACGCTGTGTGAGAAACTTCAGAGAACTGAAATACAACAGCTCGTATCCACCTCAGAAGTTGTGGTGAGACAGGGAAAGGTTTTAAAACCAGCTGCATGATCTAACAAAACTTCTAAGTTATATTCCAGTGAAATTGTGATTTTTCTATTTTTTTTCTAATGATTGTGCTTTGTTTTTGTATTGTACTATTTATGCTACAGTTATTTATGCCAGAAAAGAAAGTTGCACTCCATGATGGGAAAAAACAAACCAGCTACTGAAGTTCTCCCCTGAACCTCTTTTTCTCCAGGCTAAACATCCCCAGCTCCTTCAGTTGTTCCTTATAAGATTTCTGCTCCAGACCCTTTTCCAGCTCTGTTGTCCTTCTCCGGACTTGCTCCAGCACCTCAATGTCCTTTTTGAAATGAAGGGTCCAACACAGAACACATTAGTCATTGTCAAGTAAAGGGTGACAGTCACTGCCCTGGTCCTGCTGGCCACACCACTGCTGATCCAGGCCAGGTGCCATTGGCCTTCTTGGCCACCTGGGCACTCCTGGCTCATGTTCAGCCACTCTCAACCAGCACCCCCAGGTCCTTTTCCACGGGGCCCTTCCCAGCCACTCTGCCCCAGCCTGTGGCACTGCAGGGGTTGTTGTGACCCAGGGGCAGGACCTGGCACCTGGCCTCGCTGAACCTCAGACCCTTGGCCTTGGCCCATTGATCCAGCCTGTCCAGATCCCTCTAGGGAGCCTTCCTGCTCTCCAGCAGATCAACTCTTCCATCCAATATGATGTCATCTGCAAACTGACGAGGGTGATCTTGATCCCCTTCTCAAATCATTAAAAAATCATTTTGTGAAGATAATAATAGCAATGGAGATTCTTTTTAGAAGAGAAAAAGCCTCTGTGCAGCTGCACCTGTTTCTGATTTGGTGCCACGATTGAATTGCTCTAGTTTATATAGGAGTTAGAGTAAAGTAAAATTCATATTGCTGAATATGAACATCTTTGGGGAAAGTAGAAGGGTAATATTTATTTCTTAAGAATGAAATTCTACTTTTCAGTCAAGTGTCTGAACTACCAAATATGGTCTCTAGTAGCCTCAACAGTATAAGCATAAAACCCATACAGTTCTCAAGGAGAAAGAGTTTCATAGATCAGACATGTTATCTTGGAGGGTGACAGAGAGCCTTGGGAAATGGGAGGCATCAGTGAAATAGAATTTATGTCACCTTTTTGTGGGAACATAAGATTTGTAGCTATAATCTAACCAATGCTTTTATGTAGTCCAGTATTCTCTTTCCAACAACTGCTGAGACTTGGTTATTTAGAGAAAGGTAGGATGAAACCTTCCAGGAGATAAACATCTTCAGATTAATTGTCTACTATTTATTTCTCCCTGGTAGCAAGAAAAAAACCCTTCTATTTTAAATATAAATTCTAGTACAATTGCATCTGCTGTTCATCCTGGATTATTGCAGTTCCAGGTATTTTTTGTTGTACTTAAAAATATGCACTCTCTATTGTAATAATTTAATTCTGTTTCTCAACAGAATTTTTGGCAGTTTACAATCAAAGTAATCAGAAGTATGCTTTATTTCACTGGTTTTTAATTTGAAAATTTGAATTTCTCTTGAAGTTTTCCTGGAGCTTTTATTAAGGCATGAACAGGAGAAATTCTCCTCTTGGATTGTGCTTGTATAAATATATGTGTGTATATATATGTATTATTTTGTCTACTTCCATAGTGTTCTCTCTTGCATTGATGCTGTATAGCACAAAAAAACAAACAGAAGGCCATAAATAACACACACACATCACACCCCAGTGTTATCAAAGTTGCTGTGGAAAAGTTTTTATGTGTCTTTTTGTCTCTGTCTGGGACAGGAGTGGAAATGAAATGGGAAGGAGTAATTTCCTGCCTTCCTAATGAAGGCTTCCTTGGTCCTGGGCTGGGATTGCTTGAAGGACATCATCCTTCAGCCAGTATTTTGTCCATTCAGCTTGTCAAGAAAATTTCTTCCTCCAAAATGTATTCTGTTAAAGTTTGTTTAATAATATAACTTCAAGAAAAGTATGTCAGTAATTCACATTCTTGATTTTGCAGCTAAATAAATTGCAAGATCTTCATCCTTTGCCTAAGATAATTTTAGAATACCGCCAGGTGAGCTGATATTTTTTCACAAAATGTAGTTACATTGAAGCAAAATTTAGCAAGACAGAAAAAATATTCATAGTTAAATAAGTTGGCACTAGTGAAAGTTCATTCAAGTATCAATTTGAAGTCAGTATTCTTAAGACTTTTTAAATGTTAATGCTTATAGTTGTTTTGCTGTGTTAGATTTTAGCTAGCAAACAGCTTGTACAAAATTGCAAAGACAATTGGAAAACTGCAGTATTAAATTTGTGTAGTGTTAAAAAGCATACTTAGGGCAAAACATGTATCTTTTGAGTTCTGAAGAAATGCTTTGCATAAAGTGAAGGAGATAACTGTTTATGGGGAATTTTGGGGTGACAAGCCTCCTGAAAATCCTAAACAATCTAGTTAGTCTGCTCCCACACTTAATCATTAGGTTTCCAGGGAATGAGCTTCCAAGAATTAAAAAAAAAAAAAATTAAAAATTTTAAAAGTGTGGGTTTCTGTTTGGTTTTGATTTTTTTTTTAAATTTGTTTATGGTTTTTTGTGTGTGTGGTTTTTATGTAATGTATTGACCTGGGGACATAAGATGTAAAATAATAAATTCCTATAATTAATTTAATAACATCTGCAAAGCTCTGTCTTTAGGTTATAACCAAGCAGTTGCCTAACTTACATGAATAGGTTAAGCTGTGAGTGAGTATAAATCCATTATTTACTCAGATAAAACTGTCTCTAAAAAAGAAAAGTTTACAAGCAGGATGCATTTGGAAATTAGGATCTTTAATTTGAAAAATCCCTTATTTTTCTAAGTAAGCATTTATCTTAAATTTTATGTATTTTAGGTTCATAAGATGAAATCAACTTATGTGGATGGACTACGAACGTGCATGAAAAAGGTAGAAATATATAAAGTAGCTTGTAAAATCCTGAAAATATGTGAAATGATTGCAGTGTTTACAGTTTAAGAACTTTTATTCATAGAAAATGAAAAGTGTTTATTTTATATTTTCTTGTTTTGATTGCAGTGAATTTTTTTACTGATACTTATATTAAATAAAATATAGCTGTGTGTCTTCATTCTTTTTTTTTTTTTTCTGTTTTTTACTTTACTTGATTACAGGGATTCATTTCCTCTACTTGGAATCAAACAGGAACTGTGACAGGCAGACTTTCAGCCAAACATCCTGTAAGTGAGCTTATTGGAAGATCTGCATTTTAATTGAAATGAAAAATTAATATTAGTTGTACAAAATATGTAATATTTTTAACACAGGAAATATTTGTTTTCATGCAAGTCTAGCAGTTGCTCTATTGTATCTAAATGGTGGACAGAAAAAGCTTTTATATGGGTATTTTATGATAGGACATCTGTTCTTAGGCATATTTTGTGCTATCTGTGATTAGAATTAACATTGTTACCCGAAGTAGAGGAGTACAATTGTGAGCCATGCATGTACCTTGAATACTTCCTTGTCATGAATTCTGGTGTTTATGAAGCACTCCTTGTAAAGCATCAGTGAGCCCTGGAAAGTGGGTATTACAGGAAAAAAAGGAAGCTCACCTGGAATTTGGCTTCAGGCCTCATAGCAGTTAAGGGCCCAGCTGGCAGTGCTGGTGCTCTGGAAGTCTTGCTTACATGGCCATGACACTTGGGCTCCTTGTGCTTCCTCTCTTGTCTATAATGATCTCCATGTACATGCTTGTTCCTGAAATGTGTTTTATTTGCCTTTCTGGACTGCTACGGGCTTGGGGTATCTTTTTTTTTTTTTTTTTCTCCTTTCCACACAGAGGCCTTTCAAGAGCTTGCTAGAATATATTCTATGATCCCATTTCTCTTGGTGTTTGACACCCACTGACCTTTGTCTGTACAGGCTGGCCAGGCCTTTGTGCTCCCCCTGTCACAGCCCATGGCTGTGTGGATGGGAGTGCAGGAGCTGCTGTGGGACAAGATGGGGCTGCAGAGCTCCAGGGGCTCAAGGTGTAGGTGAGAGAACAGCAGAAGAAAAGTAATGACTGTCGGTTTGGGGAAAGTTTCTGTTTTCTGTTTGGTTTAACCATGGCCTTTTCTACCAAAGACCGGGCCTCTGGGCCTGTGGGAACGGGTGCAGAGTTGGGACTTGTCTCATAAAGGCTAGAGGGAATCTGTGAGGCTGTTGTTCTTCTAACTTGTGCACAAAAGTGTTGTCAGTTTCTATCCATGTTGATTTGACTACTGCTTATCTCTGTGCAGGGCCCAGCCTTAAGCTTCACGGGTATAAATGGCATTAGGAGCTTTCTGCAGTCTTGAGGAAAGGCCGTGGTCTTCCACAGCTCTTTGTGGGAGCAGAGATTTAACCCTAATACTTGTGAGCATTTTGCATGGATGGGCTCATGTGGTTCCTGGCAAGTCCTGCCTGGAATGGTGACTTTGGGTTTCTGACAGAAACCTGTTCTGGGGACTTCTCACCCTCACCACACTTGGTGACTTCCTTAGCTGCTCTTTCACCTATCTTCACAGTTCATGTTTCATTTTCATCTTCTACCCTCATGGTACATATTATCATACAAATTGTCATCAAACAATTTATAGGAAGTGCTTATGCTTTTTGCTGAGTAAAAAAATCAGTGTTTAGGATTCTGAATTAACAACAGAATGAGGAAGTGTTACTGCTGCTCTCGTTTCTCATGCACCCAGATGGGAAAAAGTGAGAGGAAAAGATGAAGGTCATGGTTTGCTGAATTCTCTGATGTGATGCACAGGCATTTCCAAGTCAGAGCTGAACAGACAGCTGTCTTGAAAAGCCACATAGAACACAAAGTGACCTTTGGCCTATCATAGTAAAAAGGACATGAAATCAATTTTTCTTAAAAGTTGTTTTTCTTCAAAATAATGCTGCTAAAGTTAGCATCCAGGGTTGCCTAAGGCTGACTTTTCCCTCTAAGGAAAAACATTGGCATGGCTTTTTTTGTTTGAAATGTTTATGGAACTTATGCCATCTGTTTCTGAATCATGTATTGACATAGAAGATATACTGCAGTGCCCAGTCACTTTGGTAAGTGTTAAAGGATTGGGAAGATTCTTGCCAGAAATCATAAATATTGGAGATATTTTTGCGGTTACTGTGATATTATGTCAAATTTTAGCTGAATTTTTTGCTGAGGCAGTTTATTTTTAACTGTTTTAAAATGCTTTAACAAGTGATTAAAGCAAAAGATAAATTTGAATCAGATTCTGTGAGAATTCAAATGGAAAACCATCCCATATTCTGCAGTGCTTCTGAGAGATGGGATTCCAAACAAAGGTTTCTTTATCTTTCTTTTGTTTTGTAAAGGTGATGGATCCATCTGTCCTCTGTCCTTTAAGGCATTTAATGGAGTTCAGGAGGGATTTACTTAGAGGTTTGAGGGGAAATGACTAGATATTGGATACAGAGCAGAATTTTTTTTCAGATATACTCTGTCATTTTCTTTCAGGCAGTTCCACATTTGATATATGGATGATGTATATTTTTGGCATTAGGTGGGTTTTTATCAGTAGATAAGTTTATTCATATGTATTTTTTTTTGACTTTTGTGTTGTAACAACTTAGAGGGGGTTTCTTAGCAGCACTTCACTGGCTCTCCATGTGCTCATATATTTTAGTGTAACTGTACACTTCATTTCTTCTCATTTGGTTTCTTCCTCTACAAAATGTGTGCTGTATAAATAATGTGTTTTTCACAAATAACTGTTAATGTATTATTGCTAAGCAGGGACACATTTGATCTTGCAGTCTCCTGTTATTTGCATTGTAGATGCAAATATTTGCTAATTTTGGAAAACTTGAGTATCTGAAACCTAGAAGTAAATGTAAACCCTACAAATTATTTTATAATGTATCCATGTATTAGTTTTATTGGGGTTTTTTCCTCTATGATGGATTGCTTTGACTATTAGGGGAATTTAATTAGGTTTATTATTTGAATGTGTTATTTTCAAGTCATTTTTGTATACATTAGGCTGCTTTTTGATTATATTACTCATAGATAACATTTCTATTATATATATTTTTGACATTCATAAAAGCTTGTTTATGTTCTCCAAATCTACCTGGAAATATCTCTTTTCAGTCTCTCATGTTTTAAAGCAGAAATTAGTCAAGACACAAGTGGAAAAGCATAAATCCAATTAAGATCAAGTCCCTTTCAGAATGAAAAGAGAGAAACCCTAACTTGAGATATAAAGATTGCATAAAATTAAATGTTATAATTTGGTTTAAGATGTAAATTTCAGTGCTAGAATCAGATATTCTGTATTAAGATTTCTTTCCTCCAGGCTTCTGCAGCAGAGAGAACTGAAATGCTGCTAATGAGTTTATGCTTCTCTACTTCAGAAGGTGTTTGTATCATTAAACTGAAAAGCATAATGTGGTGGGCTGCAGGGAGCATTTCCTTCCTATTAGTAATAAAAAGTTATGCTGGAGATAGATAAAAAATTTTCACCTTTTTGGAGCAAGTGGGAAAAAAAAAGCATTCCTGTTTTTCCTCAGGAAAAGCACTTTTATATCTTGTCCAAAATGGCAAAGAAATAAAATAATAGAACCTATCAAAGAAACATGTTAACCTATCATTTGGAAATCAGGAATGTAATTTGAAAGGGAAGCTAATTAGGGCATATTGAATGTTAACATGCTTAAGGAAGGATCATAAAGAACCTGAAATGTTGCATGTATCTTAATCTCTTCAACAGATATAAGATTTTCTGGTGGTGAATGCACAATAGAGAATTGCATGCTTGTTTATTAGAAAATGAGTGTTGCAAGTAGTGTTTAGAATACGAATAATGAATTTATCCATCTGGTTTTCATTCTAAGGGGAGAGACAATCCCTTGAAGTAGAGACCCCTCTGAGCAATTGCCATCCAAAATGAATTCATTCTCTCAATTAACTTAGCAAACCAGTATTTCTGATTAGCCATAGTGTATCTGTGTTATTTCCCCTCTGGGCTGTTTAGTGTAGTGAAAAATTTTCTAATTTTCTTTGAGATAAAATGGAAATATGGTTTTGGCATAGTTTTGGGATTGTTTCTGGACAGTGTGGATGAGATGCTGCTCGTTTTTCTCCCTTTTGGTGCAGAATCCCAATAGGTTTTCCATCTTGCCATCCCCACATGTGCCCTCCTAGCAGGGTGGTCTGACAGAATTGTACTACCAAAGCTGTGGTGACAGCTCCAGGTTTCAGGATATTTGTCCAGCTTTATTAAGGCTGGAGGCTGATGTGTGCTACTACAAATACTCTTTCTAGAAGTTTGAAGTCTGTGGTCACAATTGGATTCCAGCAGAAACAGGATGTTCTGCAAGGTGTTCCAATAATGATGAGATTCTGCGCTGTCTGTTTTATCCCTGCCCCTTTCTTTCACAGCTTTTAGAAGGTTTGGCAGAGGCTGGTGCAATGTGAGGAATCAGACACCAAGTCTGGGAGCAGGGATATGCTTGCATTTTGCTTTTTTTTTTAAACCCCCTCCTCAGAAATGAGTCAAGACCTTGGCTGCTTTTGAAACTGCACAGACAGGAATAAGATTTTTGCAAACTTGTTTTCATACCCTGTCCAGATTATTTACTGGTTATTTACTTGAAATGAACAAATTATATGGGCCTTACCTTTTCATTGATCTTGGAGTGTGTGTTTGTTTTTGTTTTTTAAAGTATGTTTATTGGAAAGCACTGGGAATAGACATGTTAGACACATTACCGGTTCATGTAAAACATCTTGTCTAAAGTTTCTATAATGTCATCTAGGCTAAGAAAATAATTTTTAGATAAGTATTCCCTAATGTGTGCTTTGCTTATAACAAGGTTGGGTTGTCTTAACAGATATGAGAATATGTCTGTGCTTTCTTGGGCCTTTAATTAAAGCAATTTCAAGTTGTATTTTCTAGTCATTACAAACTCCTGTCACTCAGATGAGCTGATGTGCTGTTAGAAAAAAAACAGAGAGTGCTTGCTGATTGTTGTAGCTGATCGGTGTTCTCTGAGCATCTTTTGCATTCAGAACATATTTTCATGCCATATTTCTTTTCAGTATGTTTATTCCAATACTCTTGAGTCATGTGGTGGTTATTACTGCACTAATAGCGCTAAAATAGCATCTCATTTTATGAGTAGAGTTATGATGTTTTTATAGTCTCTTGTTGCTTAGTTTTGGTTTTGTTTTTTTTTTAAGTTATCT